TAATGCCTAACCTTAAGAATTTGGAGTTAATGCCTAAACTTAACCCTAACCTTAAAAATGCAGAGATAATGCCTAAACTTAACCTTAAACACTTTGAATAACTTTGAAATTTGACGTTTGAGAAACATGGATGAATGTCTAATTCTGATGTGAGACTGTGAGAGCTGGTATCAGTATTCTCCTCTAATCAGGGACTGAGTAAGACCTGGGACACCAGTTGAATCTGGCAGTCCTCTGGACCTCAAGGCTTGCATTTGAGTACCCCTGGTTTAGGTGGATCACAGTGAAAGAAGGTCTCGGAGGGACCCATTAGTTTAGTGAGAAAGCCTGCCACTTTGTGTGCATATGTGGAAGAAACCTCAATTGAACCAAGGTGGGTAGGTGCTAGTGGTATGTCTTGCCTCTATGCATCACTCTAAGCAGTTACGTACACACACATGGATGGAGATTATTATTTATGCTCTAACCGAGAGGGAGAGAGAGAAAGAGAGAGAGAGAGAGAGAGAGAGACAGAGAGAGACAGACAAAGAGAAAGAGAGAGAGAGGGAGGGGTGGGGGAGGGAGAAAGAGAGAGGGAGAGCAAGAGAGATTTACATTTTGCTTACACTGTGCAGGGTGAAATATTGGCAGGTCAATCATGGCCAATTCAATGTAACACATGCAGGTCTCGGAGGGACCTACATGTACAAATCTCTGTTTGTACCTAATCATTTCAGACAAAAGCACCTGTATGTGTGTATTTGTACTCGCATGTATTTGTGTGTATATGTGTGTGTGTGTGTGTGTGTGTGTGTGCGCACACCTTTGTATACTGTATCCTTGGCCTGGCAATATGTAACGATTTTGAAGAAATCGCCTTAACACTCACACAGTCATCCTCTCTGGGAAAGCTTCTCTTTTTTTTCTTTTTTTTTTTTTCTCTCTTGTAATGTGTGTGTGTGTATGTGTGTAGTAACACTAGAACGTAAAGCTCCTGCCAGCAATTTCACAAGTGTTCCTCATTCTGCTTGGCACACGGTATGTGTGTGCATGTGTTACATTGAATTGGCCATGATTGGCCTGCCAATATTTCACCCTGCGCAGTGTAAGCAATATGTAAATATGTTGTATGGCTGCTCTCTTTTCGAACCTCGGACCAGCTCAGAGGGCAAATCGCTAGAGAAGAGAGAGCGAGAAGGGAGACAAAGAATCAGAGAGAGCGAGAAGAGCGAGAGAGCGTCATCTCTCTCTCTATCTCTCTCTCTCCTCTCTCGTCTCTCGAAGAGCTCTCTCTCTCTCTCTTCTCTCTCTCTCCCTAGCTCTTCTATCTCTCTCTCTCGGTTAGAGCATAAATAATCATCTCCATCCGTGTGTGTGTACGTAACTGCTTAGAGTGATGCGTAGAGGCAAGACAGACCTAATCATTTCAGACAGTAAGTATTCGTCTGAATAACGTATTTATTCATAGTTCATAGTACTAACTGACATTAACATTTAAACACACACTCTCCCACTGTCTCTTTCCTTGGCCCAAACATGTGTGTATATATGTTTGTGTGTGTGCGTGTGTGTGTGTGTGTGTGTGAGAGAGAGTGAGGAACATATAATCTATAAGTACTAAATAAACCACCAAAAAGGTGCTGAGTAATAGGGGTACATGCTGTCCTTTTTCGTTTTGTTACATATTCTTGCCAAGAGAGAAGGAGTCTTGATATTGACTAAATGCCTTAGCCATGACAGATCTGTATTCCTACGGGGACCAACTCTGACAACAAGAGACGATTGAGGACAGGATCTGAACAGGACACACACACATACTGAGGTAATAAATAGAGCTACAAAGCTCTTCATCCAGGCTTTGGTTTGATCAAGACAGCAAAATTGAATTATATTTTGAGAAAATTAAGCAGTCCTACTTCATATAGGTAGGCTAGTATCCTCATGGGGGTGTGGGGGAGATTTTATGGTGAGGTGTGGAGGAGGTGGGGACACCGAATAAAATGTAAAATGCATCAGGTAATTATACCTCACAGGGAAGCATCAGGGAAATGCTTTGCTCTAAAGTGAGAAACCTTGTTGAAGATGCTGTTGGTGCAGCGGTGGCCTCGAGGTAAGAGAGGCGGGCAGGAGGGTGTTGTATATAGAAGTATTGCATTTTATTGTATTGAATTGTACCCTGATTGTTAGTTATACAGTTGAGATATTTTAGATGACATTTTCAAGTTAGAGGGGAATAGCAGGTACTTGTCTTAATGATGGCCTTAGGCCTAGTCAGAAAGATGCCTTTCTTTTTACATTAGATTACATGGACGGGGGAACTGATCCTCGATACTAGATCAGCACTCCTGCTCTGAGACATTCGATAAATACGGCCCCATTTTTAAAATTCCCAGTCTGGCATTTCCTGTCCTTCTGTTGTCTCTAACTTCTCAGATCTCCCCTTCTCACCTTGTCCTTCTGTTGTCTCTAACTTCTCAGATCTCCCCTTCTCACCTTGTCCTTCTGTTGTCTCTAACTTCTCAGATCTCCCCTTCTCACCTTGTCCTTCTGTTGTCTCTAACTTCTCAGATCTCCCCTTCTCACCTTGTCCTTCTGTTGTCGCTAACTTCTCAGATCTCCCCTTCTCACCTTGTCCTTCTGTTGTCTCTAACTTCTCAGATCTCCCCTTCTCACCTTGTCCTTCTGTTGTCTCTAACTTCTCAGATCTCCCCTTCTCACCCTGTCCTTCTGTTGTCGCTAACTTCTCAGATCTCCCGCTCTCTATTTCCTATTTTATAAATAAATGTCAAAAAAGTCATAACATTATGAATGAAAATCGAGTCTGAGTCATTTCCTTCTTAAAGAAAAACTCCACCCAAAAACTATATTTTGGTATTTGTTTCATTAGTCCATTGTTGATATAGTCCCAAAATGTTTTGCATGTCAGCAATCAAGTTTTCAAGATATCTAACCTTCAAAATATAGCAATCTGGCCCGTATGATGCATTTGGCATCATGTGAGGCAGATTTCTGTATTTTGAAAGTTACATATCTTGAAAACTTGATTGCTGACATGCAAAACGTTTTGGGACTATATCAACAATGGACTTATAAAACAAATACCAAAATATAGTTTTGGGGCGAAGTTTTCCTTTAAGAGATGACTGGGGTGTTAAGGGGGACTGGTCATAGAGTGCCATCCACTGGATATCTCTAGATATCTAGATTTATTATCTGAATATTACTAAAACTTGGTCTTCAAAGCTATCACTAGAGGACGCTGTTACGTTATAAATCAGTTATTCACACAGGCAGGACTTCGCTGTCCCTTTTTGCTTTATGGCACTGAACTTGATCCACTACAGGCTTGTGCAAGATTTTGCTCCCACATGCTGGAAACAAGAAAGGCTGTGGCCAGTTCACTTGAGTTTAACTTTTGATGGACAAAAACGGACAATTGATGAATGCATATACTATTTCATCCTCATCATGTGTCTATGTGGCCATAGCCTAAGATGTTTGTGTTGGCTGTTGTATCTTTCAACAGGATATCTTTGAGGGCAGGACAGATATAGTGCCTTCAGAAAGTATTCATACCCCTTGACTTATTCCACATTTTGTTGTGTTACAGCCTGAATTCAAAATAGATTAAATATATTTTTCCCTCACCCATCTACACACAATACCCTATAATTACAAATTGAAAACATGTTTTTAGACATTTTTGCTAATTTATTGAAAATGAAATTCAGAAATATCGAATTTACGTAAGTATTCACATACACCTGAGTCAATACATGTTAGTATCCCCTTTGGCAGCGATTACAGCTGTGAGTGTTTCTGGGTAGTTCTCTAAGAGCTTTGCACACCTGGATTGTACAACATTTTCACATTATTCCTTTTACAATTCTCCAGGCTCTGTCAAGTTGGTTGTTGATCATTGCTTGACAGCCATTTTCAAGTCTTGCCATAGATTTTCAAGCCGATTTAAGTAAAAACTATAACTAGGCCACTCAGGAAGATTCAATGTCGTCTTGGTAACCAACTCCAGTGTATATTTGGCATTGTGTTTTAAGTTATTGTCCTGCTGAAAGGTGAATTTGTCTCCCAGTCAGTTGGAAAGCAGACTGAACCAGGTTTTCCTCTAGGATTTTTCCTGCGCTTAGCTCTACTCCATTTATTTTTATCCAAAAAAACTCCCTAGTTCTTGCCAATGACAAGCATACCCATAACATAATGCAGCCACCACCATGCTTGAAAATATGAAGTGAGGTACTCAGTGATGTGTTGTGTTGGATCACTTCTTTGCCACATTATTTTCAGTTTTACTTTAGTGCCTTATTGCAAACAGGATGGATGTTTTTGGAATATTTTAATTCTATACAGGCTTCCTTCTTTTGACTCTGTCAATTAGGTTAGTATTGGGGATAACTACAATGATGTTAATCCATCCTCAGTTTCATCCTATCACAGCCATTAAACTCTCTGGACGCCTGTATCTTTGTAGTGACTGGTTGTATTGATACACCATCCAAAGTGTAATTTATAACTTCACGCTCAAAGGGATATTCAATGTCTGCTTTTTTTTTTTTTTTAACCCATCTACCATAGGTGCCCTTGTTTGCGAAGCATTGGAAAACCTCCCTGGTCTTTGTGGTTGAATCTGTGTTTGAAGTTCACTTCATCGACTAAGTGACCTTACAGATAATTGTATATGTTGGGTACAGAGATGAGGTAGTCGTTAAAAAAAATCATGTTAAACACTATTATTCCACACAAAGTGAGTCCATGCAACTTATGTGACTTGTTAAGCACATTTTTACTCCTTTACTTATTATTCTTGCCATAACAAAGGAGTTAATTACTTATTGACTCAAGACATTTCATCTTCTCATTTTTAATTAATTTGTAAAAATGTATAAAACATAATTCCACTTTGACATTATGGGGTATTGTGTGTAGGCCAGTGACACAAAATCTCAATGTAATCCATTTTAAATTCAGGCTGTAACACAACAAAATGTAGAAAATGTCAAGAGGTGTGAATACCTTCTGAAGGCACTGTACGTAAACAGGACATTATATAAACGAACAAAGACAAACATGTGTTTTCCAGTTTATAAAGTATTTAATCTGTGTGAAAAACAGCATGAAACTGCCTCCACATTGGCAAATAAAGTGCAGTAACAGACAGTGTAAATCACAACTGTCAAAACCATAATAAAATTATTAAAAATACGTTTGATAAAAACAATTGAGATGGCTTCTTCCCTTTGCCCAGAGCAGACCTGCAGGCTACAGCCAACACCTTTGATTTGATGAGGATGAGCTTGTTTCAGATTTGCATTGGTGTAAGGAAATTGATTGCATTGATGTATTGCCCTTAATACAATAAATCACCTGATCAAGATAAAAAAAATCATTCACATTTAGTTTTACAGACAGTAGTTATTACTCCAGTACCCAGCAGCTTGCTGGGGTTTATCTCACAGTATAGGCCTTTATGTCAGCCCTTGCAAAATGTCCAAAAAGGCAAACACCACACACATATTTCTCCTGCCAGCAGTACAGCAGATATACATTTCTCTCACCATGTACTGTCTCTGTGTGTTTCTCTCAGATATAGCCCAGCCAGTGGCAGAGTGGGTAAACATTTCTCTGAGCACAGTTATGTGAGGCTGTGGCCACGCAGAGACACATGAAAACGTGTGAAATCGAATACACATTCTTCATCATAGTCAGTTGTCCGTCAAAAGTTAAACAACACAAGTCAACTTTTTGAACAAATCCACCTAATGGAAGTGCATATAGAAAGTACATTTATCTTATGTATTAATCAGAAATATATCTGTGCGAGTCTAGTGGCAAAGCATATATGTAAATATATCGCTAAATTATGGAGTCAGTGACATAGGACGTCGGTCTCAAACTGCAGCAGCTGTCCCATGAAGGCCAGGTTAGGAGAGATGACCTGGCGTCGCTGCTTCACGAAGTCGAAGGCCTCGTCCAATCGGACGCGCCGGGCGTGGATGAGGTAGGCCAGACAGATAGTGGCTGAGCGAGAGATCCCGGCTTGGCAGTGCACCAGCACACGACCACCACGCTCCTTCACCGAGTCTGCAACAGAGAAGTTAGAGAACAAGGTCGTTAGCGTTGAGCTCTGTGTTTTAGCACACAGTCTCAATAGTCTAAAATGTCTTCCTTCCTCGTCTCTCCAATCTAGATTTATGTGAAAGAAATGTCCCAGAAATTGGCAATCTTTCACCTGTCCTGCGTTTTCAAATGAAGGAGAGGAGACAACGGTCATGTTCCCCTGCTCAGACATTGCTGACGCATGCCAGATCTTACAACGCCTGGATAGGTATTTTACGTATCAGCTAACCACATCATATGTTATAGCAATCTGGTGCCCGACACCACAGTCGATGACGTGGCACGCAACCATTGGTGGATGCATGCAACGTCTGAGCAGGGGAACACGACCAATGTCTGCGCACCAAATTAGAATAAGGTGCCTTTTGGGACACACCCAGAAGGTGATGCTAGTAGTGGAACTGACCTATGAAGGCGATGGCCTCAGGGAAGCGTGCTCCGATATCTGCAGCCAGGCTGTCCTCTACAGTGAGTCTCATGTAGTGCAGTTCCTCTTCGTACAGGTTGGGGCAGGAGGAGGACACGTTGAGCACTGCCGTGATCCCCGCTGCTGCGAGAGTTTCGCGCCGCGACGAGTGAACTGCACTGCCCAGAAACAGGAAGGGAAGGAGCTCCACTGGACCCTCCTGTCAATCAAACACAAACCATCCGATCAAAAACAAGAACCAACCAAAACATGACTGATTTCAATCCATGAAGGAAAACATCCCAAACCAAGTAAAGTAGGGGACAAATGTCTGAAAAAAAATTCCACATGCAATTATTTCAGTTATTTTCCCAGTCTCTCACCTGATCATAGAGTGGTGTTTTCCGCCCTGTCACACTAGGCTCCAGGTCCATCATTGTAGGGTTGTGTCCCAGCAGGCCTGGGGAGTTGAAACAGACTTCTGGATATTCTTCATGGAACCCTTCAAAGCCACCTGTCATTGAGAAACATTACTATGTCACTCAACAGCTCATGACATAACTCCTCACATCTTCTGTACCAGATAGGAACATTACCTACTTAGAGGATGGCTTGTAGAGGAAATTATTAAAATGTATGTAACTAAATAATCTGGTTATTATCATATTTAGGCCTAAAGATATTCATTAACAACTCCAACTTTGGACTTTTTGGGCTATTCTTATTCTATTTTGTAGGCCCATTTCATCTCATTCTAAATGATCTAATAGCCGACTTGTTTTGTTTTGTAGCCTGGTAAATCTCACCTTGTAGAAAGCAGATCTGTGTTGAGCTGGACTGGACATCGGCTTGTAGAGCAGTCAGCAGCATACTGGCCAAGCTCTCCCCTTTCAGTTCGGCCATAGAAAGGCTACTCTCATCAAGCACCACGATTGGCGAGAAATCCCCTCTGCGCAGCCGACCAAGGAGGTCCTTGTCCGCGACCAACCACTCCAAACAAACAACGGAGCTCTTGGACCGACGCCGGAGCATCGAGTTCCAGTTGACATTGCGGGACTCGGAGATGCGAGTCCTGGAGAAGGCAAGGAACGGCCGACAGTCCAGCATCACACAGCCGCCTGAGGTGAACTGGTCCCGGGGAGTTCTGAGGATGTGGGCCAACTCAATACCAGTTATCTCCAGAGGCTCGTTGCTTGAACACATGATTTAGTTCTGGTCCCAAAAACAAACAGAAAAAAATAAGAAATTGTTGTCGTTTTGATTTGTTTCTCCTGTGGAAAGTTATAGACTAGCCTAAAAGCAACAAAATGTTTGCCAAAACACACTTGCTTCTTGATCTGAATATATTTAAAACTTGATCAACTAATTTCCACAATTTGACTTCAGCCTATTTCAATAAACAATTCACCTCGAAATCAGTACTAAACTGTCGTTACCTCTTGTTTCTTATTAAGAGATGGGATGAGATGGGAGGGCGGGGTTTTATACCTCACTGCTACTCCACCCTCTTTTTCCACATAAGGAAGACACATCACAGACGGAACGACCATATATGCTCGTCTGTCTGTACCGGTACTCCTTATATGGTGTTTGACGTAAAAACTCAGATTTTCCAAAACCACACGTGGTGCTCAGGGTTTACCCCGTGTTTTGTTCTAAATGACGTCATGTTTAGACTTTAAGCACCCATTTTCAACATATGAGAACTTGTTCTCAACTGGCTTACCTGGTTAAATAAAGGTTAAATAAAAATAAAAATAAATAAAATATGCACACACACACACACACCTCATTTAAACTGTCTCCATTGATTCAGGGCTGATTCATTGAAATTGCAGGGGGGTAGCCTGTGACATATAAAACATATTATTATTTACATGCTATTTTGTAATCAATCAAGGGTTTAAAGATAAGGTTAGGGTGTAGGCCTATTTTTAGGGGTTGGGTTAAAGGTTATGGTCAGATAAATATCTGTGTTTCAGTTCCCATCCTCTAGTTGTGTCCTTGCCTCTGGCTACAGTTGGATGTGTGAAAGTTGATTAGAATGGATTCCCTGCTGTTGGTTAGAATGGATATCCATTATCACTGTGGTGGAAAAATACCCCCAGACAGCCAGCCAGCCATCCAGACTACAGAACAGATACAACGTTTGTGAATGACTGTTTGAGATGCATTAAAAAATATATATATATATTGTCTGAATAAGTTCAAATCAATTAAAGAGTAACTTTCATGAAGAAAAATACATCATTAAAAAAACAGATGTTTTATGCTTAGTTATAGTGAAGCAAGTCAATTCTGGTCTTCATTTTGACAGTTTGTTTCAAAAGTGATATATTTTGGTATTTTAGTAGTAAATCTACCTCTTTTTGCCCCTAGAGGTTCAACTCTACCATTGAAATCATGATGCAGAGGGAAGGTGCCTCTACGTCATCTCAATGGAGGGATTCGGTGTGCTGGGTGGTACCACCTCAAGGCATACTATAAAATATCATTTGGCAATGGTCTTGGTAAATGGAGTGTGCCAATATATTTTGCATGATGCTTCCTTGACTACACTACTGACGTTACACAAAATTCAAAGACCTCCCTCTGCAACTGGATCCTGGACTTCCTGACGGGCCGCCCCCAGGCGGTAAGAGTAGGCAACAACACATCTGCCACGCTGATCCTCAACACTGGGGCCTCTCAGGGGTGCGTGCTTAGTCCCCTCCTGTACTCCCTGTTCACCCACAACTGCGTGACCAAGCACGACTCCAACACCATCATTAGGTTTGCTGACAACACAACAGTGGTAAGCCTGATCACCGACAACGATGAGACAGCCTGTAGGGAGGAGGTCAGAGACCTGGCAGTGTGGTGCTAGGACAACAACCTCTCCCTCAATGTGAGCCGGACAAAGGAGCTGATCGTGGACTACAGGAAAAGGAGGGCCGAACAGGCCTCCATTAATATCGACGGGGCTGAAGTGGAGCGGGTCGAGAGTTTCAAGTTCCTTGGTGTCCACATCACCAATGAACTATCATGGTCCAAACACACCAAGACAGTTGTGACGAGAACACCTTTTCCCCCTCAGGAGACTGAAAAGATTTAGCATGGGTCCCCAGATCCTCAAAAAGTTCTACAGTACATCACTGGGGCCAAGCTTCCTGACATCCAGGACCTCTCTACTAGGCGGTGTCAGAGGAAGGCCCAAAAAATGGTCAAAGACTCCAGTCACCCAAGTTGACTGTTCATTATCTATGCATAGTCACTTTACAAATGACCTCGACTAACCTGTACCCCCACACATTGACTTGGTACCGGTACCCCCTGTATAGAGCCTCGTTATTGTTATGTACTTTTTTTTTTTTTTTTCCTACTTTAGTTTATTTAGTAAATATTTTCTTAACTCTATTTCTTGAACTGCATTGTTGGTTAAGGGCTTGTAAGTAAGCATTTCACGGTAAGGTCTACACCTGTTGTATTCGGCGCATGTGACAAATACAATTTGATTTGATTTTGATTTGATTTGAAAAGGCAGTAAGGCACATTTCTGCATATGACCAAATTCAATGTTTTTACTTAAATACTGTAATGCGGGTTGGATTGAATTGAGCCCCTAATCTTCATTTTCAAGGTGATGATTGCACTTTTATTCCCAATACAATACCGCAATAAATGTGAGTCCACATTTCATATATATATTTTAGCCCTATAGGGGATTCGACTTACATCGCAAGTGGCAATAGATATCAGAAAGTTAGCGCCTTAGCACTGTACTCACTGTACAGAGCCGTGTTTGCTAACGATGCACAGATTTTTATTATCAGTGCGTGCCAATTGACTTCTTTCTGGTAAGTATGCTTTAGTGAGAAAGTGTTGGGATCCGGTACCACGTTTACTCACCCACATACATTTATATTTATTAGCAATTCCCCCCACCCACAACGTCTCACCTGAATGCATTTTAATTGTAATGTTAAGGGGTTGGGCAAATGCTGAAATTGGGGTTGAGAGTTCCCCTTTAAAGGGGAAATGTACAGTTACTACATCAATTTTTTTACTTTTTAAGTCATGATATATAGGCCTACCTATTGATTCTTGAAGAAAATAACTTATAAGTGCTTTGTGAGCTTAGTTAAACTGTCGTACCCCACCAGAGCCCAAAATATAAGCTTGTTTTAACTCCTTTGTTTGTAAACAATGTAAATGTAAATAAACGGTATAGCCTCAAAACATAGTTAGAACTCTAATTTTGATATCATAGATATCAGTCCTTGTATCCATAGCTCTGGCCAAGAATTTGAGAGTGGTTACATTTCTCCAGCCCCATCCCTCAGCTGTTCACCAAATCAGTGGCAGATTGCAGCTTTAAATCAAATCAACAAAAAAATGTCACATGCGCAGAATACAGCAGGTGCAGACTTTACCGTGAAATGCTTACTTATGAGCCCTTTCCCAACAATGCAGAATTAAAAAGTTTAAAAAATATATATTTTGTGAATGTTGAGAATATTATAAAGCAAATGTGCCAAAGAAACAGGCATGGAAAATACCATGCTGCAGGACTATGTGTGTGTGTGTATTAGTGGGTGCATTCATGCATGTGTGTGTGAGCTCTTATGTAATGAGGTAGGCTATTCTGCACAGCAGAGAAGGGTAAACATTCACATCATCCCCTATCCATAAACTGTTTCCCACCCCCTCTCTCTTCCTCCCTCTCTCTGGTTTACATGTTAATCTGACCCCAGTCTGGTTGGAGCGCTCCCTAATCTGAGCTAATGTTCTGTTCCATCATTAACTCTCTTTCATAACATTCATTAACTCTGTTTCAACTTTGGCTCCATTCATTCTATACAACAACATTCATTCTATGACTTCCTGCTCCCTTCTCCACCACTTCCTTGTAATCCACAGCACATCCATTCACTGTTTCTCCCACTCTTTTCCTCCCACTCCACTTCCTCTCTCTCCCTCCAGCTCTCATTCTCTCTTTCCCCTCCCTTGCCTTTGTAAGCTGAGACTGCACTTATTGTACCACACACACACACACACACACACACAGTCACACGGTTATACATGCCAACAGGCACACACACGCAACACATATCATGCTTGCCAACCGCTGAGCTAGCTTTACTGACATGCAATACAAACACAATCTGTCATCCTCTCCCACACAATACCCAGAATATCACTCAGAGAGCTACAGTACAATCTGTCATCCTCTCCCACACAATATCCAGAATATCACTCAGAGAGCTACAGTACAATCTGTCATCCTCTCCCACACAATACCCAGAATATCACTTAGAGAGCTACAGTACAATCTGTCATCCTCTCCCACACAATACCCAGAATATCACTCAGAGAGCTACAGTACAATCTGTCATCCTCTCCCACACAATACCCAGAATATCACTCAGAGAGCTACAGTACAATCTGTCATCCTCTCCCACACAATACCCAGAATATCACTCAGAGAACTACAGCCACCTCAGAGAACTACAGTACAATCTGTCATCCTCTCCCACACAATACCCAAAATATAACTCAGAGAACTACAGCACAATCTGTCATCCTCTCCCACACAATACCCAAAATATCACTCAGAGAACTACAGCACAATCTGTCATCCTCTCCCACACAATACCCAAAATATAACTCAGAGAACTACAGCACAATCTGTCATCCTCTCCCACACAATACCCAAAATATCACTAAGAGAACTACAGCACAATCTGTCATCCTCTCCCACACAATACCCAAAATATCACTAAGAGAACTACAGTACAGTATTCAATGATCCTTCATTAAAAAGAGACTGTGTGTGTGTGTCTGTGTGTGTCTACATGGAGGTTTGAGTAACAGGATGTATAGCTTCCGGTAATGCTGACATGTGGGCAAACGATAAGAGGAAAACACCCCTTATGACCCACACACATGCATACACACACACACACGCACACACACGCACACGCACACACACACCTTTAAGACCTTTATAGGGTAAAATACACTTGGTTATTTTCCACACGAGTCAGTGAGCAATGCAACAGTGAAATTAAGTGATTGATGCCACCCGCACATGTAGGATGCTGTGACTAACACTGAGGCAGTGTGACAAGTCTCTTTTACAGTTTTTTTCAATTGTTTACACGCGATTTTGAAAACAGAGTTCTTTTTGTCAAAATATAATCACAATTATCCAAACACCACAATCAATTAGCAAAATTCCTAGATTGTTTGCAAAATGACACACTTCAGTCAAAACATACACACTTCAGTCAAAACATATACACATATTTGTGAAAATGCTATTTGTTTTCATTTAACCAACACAGTCATCAATGATCATACACTATTGCAGCCAGTTTCACACTGCTGTGATAAATAAAAAACACATTTAAAAAATTAAAAAAAATAAAGATTTTTGGCCAGACATTCTTACTGTATGTGAGAGATAATTTAGGTGACAAAAAATAGTGAGAAACTCACAACATTATTCATGATTTGTTTTGAGATATAAGGAGAATGTAGACAAATACTGTAGGCCTACTATAACCTTACCAAGCACTGCACAACACTTGATGCTGCAGACTGAATATTTCAAGTATTTATTTCAATACTTACAGTATTTCTTACCATAATCAGTTACAGTAATCAACCAACAATGATATCAATTACTGTAAACAAATAAAATCCGTAGACAAATAAAAATTACTGCATGAATTACAGTACATACACTTTGACTCTGAAGAAAAGTAAAGTAAAAGTAAACAGAAATGAAAGAAAACTACTGTAAAAGCAACAAGAATACTGTAACTATCCGTCTCTCCGTCTGGCTGGATCAGGCCATAACATTTCATCCACATCACAGGCTATGTCTTCATTGGCAAGGCACCGTTGGAAGAATCGCCTTGTGTGACGAATCCACCCCTGCACTGAAGCTGCTTCAATAAGATCACATGCCTGTTCCATGGCCTGAATGAGGGGCAAACGATCATAAGGCCGCAGGTCATATACCTTCCACCGCCACGCTGAAAACAATTATTCTATAGGATTCAGGAAGGGGGAGTATGGGGGAAGGTATAAAACTTCAAAATCAGGGTGATCATGGAACCAGTTCTGGACTAGAGCAGCCCGATGAAATGAGACATTGTCCCAAACGACAATGTACCGCATCTGGTCCACTTGGTGTAATGCTGTGACAATCTCATGCAATCGGTCAAGAAATGCAAGTATCAGATTGGCATTATAGGGTCCCAGATTTGCATGGTGGTGGAGGACCCCATTTTGTGTGATAGCAGCGCAAAGGGTGATGTTACCCCCTCGCTGCCCTGGCACATTGGTGATTGCCCTGTGCCCAATTACATTTCTCCCTCTTCTTCTTGTTTTTGCAAGGTTAAATCCAGCCTCATCCACATATATAAATTCATGTTGAATTTCAGCAGCATCCATTTGCAAGACTCTCTGAAACACATTAAAGAAAATAGGATGCTATTCAATATCTATAGCACAGTATTTTTTTTGTGACAGAACATTATGAGCAGTGCATGATACCACACCATAGTCAGATGAACAATGCATACCTCCACATACTCATTGCGCAGATGTTTCACTCTCTCTGAATTTCTGTCAAATGGTACCGATACAGTTGCTTCATGTATATTTGATTTTTCTTTAGGATTCGACCTAATGTTGACAGAGAGACTCGTTGGATGTTATTGAAAATATTGTCATCATTGATGATATTGGCTTGGATTTCTCGTAGCCTGATACAATTATTGGCCAAAACCATGTTCACAATGGCGGCCTCTTGTGCACGACTAAACATAGGGCCCCTTCCACCTTGGTGTCCTCGACCCTCAATCCTATGTAAAAACAAAATAAGATAAAAATAAATAAATATATATATATATATATATATATATATATATATGCAGCCTACTGTCAAATGTCACAGTAAACAATATTGATTATACAAGCTTCAGTTTCAATGTATACTGTGTGGTTAGCTTACCTGTTTTCTCGATGAAATGTCCGAATTACTGACGCAACAGTATTTCTGCTGAGATTTGGTTGAACTCTTTGTCCAGCTTCCATCAGTGTCAGTCCATGGTTGATAACATGGTCAATAAGTGTTGCACGGATTTCTCGAGTCAAATTTGGCCCTCGTCTTCTTTGTTCAGGTTCTATCAACTCTTCAAGTCCTTCTCTACCTCTTCCTCTACCTAGGTGTCTTCCTCTACCTCCTTCTCTTCCTCTACCTTCTTCTCCTCTACCTATGCCTCTTCCTCTACCTCCTTCTCCTCTTCCTCTACCGCCTTCATCTCCTCTTTGAGCTCCCCCTCTCATTCTCACTCTTCTTCTTCTTCTAACTCCTTCCATTTTTGTTGAAGACAGGTGAACTCACCTGCTGCCTTTTATAGCACACCTGAGTGCTGCGTTTTCAAATTAGCACATGTGTGCTTCCACACCTGGTAGATGTGTTTATCCAATTCGTTCATTAGTGTGGTAATTGGCAATCCGGTGCTTTGTAATTACAAGGAAGCAACCTCACGATCCTTATCTGTGTGAAAATGTGTGTAGAGTTTTACAAATCACTGTGTGTAATGTTTTGCAAAAAGGGTGAGGCGGACATTGTGTGTAATGTTGTGCAAATCTGTGGAGGTGTTTTGCTCATTGGAGTACAATTTTGCTAATTGTGTGGAAATTTTAATTTTAGTGTGTAAACAATCGTAAAAAACTGTAAAGTCAAGCGTTGTCAGTAAAAGGGGCTATTCCATGAAGGGGGGAAATAAAACAAAAGCATTACAGTAGTCACTCAGAGTTCTGCAGTTGTTCCTACTCTTGTCTGCATTGTGAGCAACCAAAAAGCCACAAGGTAAGATGACTAAAACTTAGCTTGTTTTCAATTTCACTCACTTGATTACATTGCACAACTGAAGAAAAACCTTGTGTGTACAGTATGTTCGTCAACAGAATTATTGCGCATATCAATGTTGAGCACCATGACGCTTTGCAGAGATACACTGGTCACCTTGAAGGAGCTGGTTTTGCAAATGGAACCTTTTTTGTGAGAGGAAACCATCTTTTGATTGGTTGGCTAATAACTCTCCAGTACAAAATACTGATGGTGATGATGAGTGAAGGGCCCTAATGTAGACTGTTTTACTTCTCTGTTATCTCCCTCTCTCCTCCATCTCTCACTCACGCGTCTCTCTCTATAGCTCAAGTGGTCCTCTGTAGCTCAATTGGTAGAGCACGGCGCTTGTAACGCCAGGGTAGTGGGTTCGATCCCCGGGACCACCCGTACGTTGAAATGTATGCACGCATGATTGTAAGTCGCTTTGGATAAAAGTGTCTGCTAAATGGCATGTTATCTCTCTATCCCATTTTTTCACACTCTCTTTATCTGAATAAAAAAGAGAACTTGAATATGAAAATAGTCTCTGTTTCCCCTCCCCCTCACTCCTCTCCCCTCCCCTTCTCCTCCCACAGTGGATTATCTAGAATTAGGTTAACGTTTGGGAATATTAATCTGAAAAAGTCTGTAATCCAGGAGTTTTACCACCATCCCTCGCTACTCTCATCCTCCCTCTTTTCATCCTATCTATAATCTTCTCTCCATTCAGAAAAACGTATTGAGGTCAATCAAGTGAATTAAATAACATGATGTGTGTGTGTGTGCCACACTGAGATACAGTTTTTAACAGTAGCAGTATTCATTTACGCCCTTTCTCTTAACTCTTTTGTTTTTTTAACTCAATGTCTTGTCCATCCCTTCTCATATTCCACGTCAGTCACATTCTTGTTCGTCTGTCTTCATCTCCCCCTTCCCTTCCCTTCCCTCTCCTCCTCTTCTCTCTGTTGTCTCAGAGTCATCAATCTAGTGGAAGGACACACACACACACATACATACACACACACACACACACACATTGTTCAGTCTTTATGACACAATGTCATTCTGTTTTCTCTTCAACTCTGACACCAGAAATGTGTCCTTGATTTTTCAAGGCAAAAGTTTACATTTCTGTTACTTCTCACTCTGCTGGCAACTAAGGACAGTAGATACTTTAAAATGTTACATCTGTCGGTAGGCTGTGGGATATGACGGTAATGAGGAACAATTCTATCGGCGCAATTTCGTAAGGGTGTACCTACACAGGGCATCTTTTGAATTTTGGAAGGGGAGTGAGATTGGACATGTTCTGTCCTGGTTCCGCCAATTTCACATGGTCAAACTTCTCAATTCATCTTTTGAACATCCATTCATCTTTTTTCAAATGAATCCCTCCATCATTCCTCCATCATCTCTCTCCCCTCTCTTTCTGTCTGTCTTTAACCCACTCAAATATTTAAGCAATCATTCATAATTTAATAAATCACTCATTCGGTCACTCTCTCCTCCTCCCCTCTCTCTGTCTTTCTCCCTTCCTCTCCCTCACCCCATCATTCACTCTGTCCCCCACTCCCACCTTCCATCCCTCTCTCACCCAAAAGCAACAGCAAGGCCTAGGCTGGCCGTCAGACTCAGGGCAGTAACCATGGCGATGATGACCAGCAGGAGGTCAGTGGGAGGGTGAGGAATGGGGGAGGCATCATCACCAGGAGGGAGGGAGGGCAGGGTGAGGAGAGATCTGGGAGTTGGGACAGGTGAAGGGGTGACTGTGGATAAAAGAGAGGGAGAGGTGAAGGGTGATCTGGCCTATTCTGTTTCCAAACCTCTTTATTTCCATTCCATTTCATGCATCTTCTACTGGAGAATTGTAACCCCTGAATGTCTATGCCTCTATCAATGGCTTTGTTAGAGACTGATCTGTCCTCTTGAAGTAATCACTGATCTAACACAGCCGGATAAGTGAAAGCAAAGAACATAACTTTTAACAACTCTTATCACTGATTTCTTCAGGGAAGGGAGAAAGGGATGATGCATTTCTGAAGTAGGCCATGGGCCACATGTATTCAAACTGGCATACCAGTGAGCAGGAAGTGTGTGCGTGAAAGGACAGTTCCTTTGCCATCCGTTAGGAGGCAGCGGTACATGCCCTCCTCATCGACATGCAGCTGGTTCAGCACCACAGAGGAATCCTCAGTAACCACCAGCACTCTGAAATCACCCTCTGTCAGCTAGAGGGAAGTGAAAAATGGGAAAGGGATGGATGAAAGACAAAATGAATAACATGACATGCATGTGTTCCAAGCAAGAATGCTCCTGTGTGGTTTTCTGCGTGTGTTTGTCTGTGTGTGTGTGTGTGTGTGCACACTCGCGTCTTACATTTGCAGTCCCATGCGTCCCTGGAGTCCAAGTGTAGTGATAATCTCGCCGGCCCACTACTAGACTATGCCAGGGGAGGAAACAGTCCAACACTGCCTGTCCTCCCTCTGCTGCCTCCACTGGATACTCTAGCAGAGAGAGATCAGTAGGGGGAGGGGTAGAGGGAGGAAGGGAGTGGGGTGGAGGGAGAGAAGGAGGAGAGAGAGTGAAAGAGAGAGGGAGGAGAAGGAGGATGGAGTAAGAAAGAGTGAGAGAATAAAAGAGAGAGAGGGGGAGAAGAGAAGGAGGAGGGAGTGAGAAAGAGAGAAGAATGGTTAGAGGAAGGGAGGGATAGACAGAGCGATTGATTTAACCTCAGATTAGAATAGTTTGATTAGGTCAGTATTACCTAAGTCATCTACACTCTAAAAATTAGAGGTTCAACAAGGGTTCTTCTAAGATCCTCAAAGTTCTTTGAAGAACCTTAGGGTTCTTGGCACTGGAAATGGCCCCATAAAAGTTATTCCAAGAGCCCCATAGGAGGTGGGGTTCATCGAGGAACCTCCTTAGTTGGTGGGGGTTCTTGCAGGAACCTAACTGCCCAACTGAAACATTTTGATTTTAATTTGAAAGGCACTTAACTGAAAAAGGTCAATATCTCCTCAATTTAAGGTAAGGTTTGTCCCTTGTATGATCTAAATTGATATTGTTTTATGATGATATCATATATCTTTTCATATTGTGCAAATCTTCCTAAAACTGAGAATGGACACAATTCAATGTAGGCTATAAGAATATGTTGAAGGCTAGCTGTATTGGGTGCAGATGACTGAACTTCTCACTTCTGTGTCTGTCTGCAGGTATACAGACAAGGAGGCATACAAAGTTATGTCAATTGGTATGTTATGCAGATCACATTTACCATTCTCCTCCCTTACCTCTTCAATGAATATCCCATAGGCCTCTACATTATGGACAAGGTACAGTGGGGGAAAAAAGTATTTAGTCAGCCACCAATTGTGCAAGTTCTCCCACTTAAAAAGATGAGAGAGGCCTGTAATTTTCATCATAGGTACACGGCAACTATGACAGACAAATTGAGAAAAAGAAATCCAGAAAATCACATTGTAGGATTTTTAATGAATTTATTTGCAAATTATGGTGGAAAATAAGTATTTGGTCACCTACAAACAAGCAAGATTTCTGTCTCTCACAGACCTGTAACTTCTTCTTTAAGAGGCTCTGTCACGATCGTCTAATGAGGGAGACCAAAGCGCAGCGCGTTGAGCGAACATGACTTTATTAAATTAAAGTACTCACTACAAAAAACAACAAACAATGACGAATCGTGAAGTCCTCAGTTACAATGACTGACAAGGAACAAAACCCACAACACTAAGGTGAACACTGACAGTTTAAATATGGCTCCCAATCAGAGATAACGAGCCGACAGCTGACACTCGTTACCACTGATTGGGAGTCACACGACCAAACAAGGAAACACAACCAAATACAACACAACCAATACCAAACACAACCAAATGAACACACCCTGGCTCAAAATACACAGTCCCGGAGCCAGAGCGTGACAGTACCCCCCCCTAAAGGCGCGGACTCCGACCGCGCCTACACCCCAAATAGGGAAGGGCTGGGTGGGTATTGCTCCTCGGAGGCGGCTCCGGCTCCGGGCTTGACCACCACCCTACTACAATCCCCCCGTAGTGCCCCCAGTCCGATCTGACCCAGTTAGCTGGATCAGGACTGCCGACGCGCACCCCTGGCTTGGCGCGTGAGGCAGGAATGGACCGGACCTGGCAGACGATACGCACCCTTTGCATGGTGCGTGGAGCCGGAACAGGCCTCACCAGGCTGAAGACTCGCATGCCCTGGCTTGGTGCGAGTAGCAGGAATGGGCTGAATCCGGCTGACGACTCGCACCCTTGGCTTGGTGCGAGTAGCAGGAATGGGCTGAATCCGGCTGACGACTCGCACCCTTGGCTTGGTGCGAGTAGCAGGAATGGGCTGAATCCGGCTGACGACTCGCACCCTTGACCTGGTGCGGGGAGCTTGGATGGGCCGGACTGGGCTGGCGACGCGCACCACAGACCTGGTGCGGAGAGCAGGAACGGGCCGGACAGGGCTGACGAAACGCACCATAGACTTGGTGCGGAGAGCAGGCACGGGTCTGACAGGGCTGGCGACGCGCACCACAGACTTGGCGCGGAGAGCAGGAACGGGCCGGACAGGGCTGACGACGCACACCACTGGCTTGGTGCGGGGAGCTTGGATGGGCCGGACTGTACTGGGGACACACACCACTGGCCCTACACCGGGATCTGGAACGGGCCGGACCGGACTGGCAACACACGCCAGTACCTCTCGCCGTGCCTCTACTTCCTCCATCCCCTCTTCGACCAGTGGCCCCCGTAACCCGACGGCCTCCTCCGGCAACCCACTGGACCGCTCTATCGCGGCCTCCTGCTGGTCCGACGTCGTGAGCCCCCCCCTAAAAATGTTCTGGGGTTCTCTCCTCTTCGTGGACCAGGCCTCCATCGTTCTCGCCAGACTATCACCCCACTGCTCCAAAGTCCAACCTCTCTCCTCTTCTCTTGGCTTGGCCCAGTCGAGACTCCTACTCAACTGCTCCCAAGTCCATCCTCTCTCTTCTTCATGCTGCTTGATCTGGTTAAGGTGGGTTTTTCTGTCACGATCGTCTAATGAGGGAGACCAAAGCGCAGCGCGTTGAGCGAACATGACTTTATTAAATTAAAGTACTCACTACAAAAAACAACAAACAATGACGAATCGTGAAGTCCTCAGTTACAATGACTGACAAGGAACAAAAACCCACAACACTAAGGTGAACACTGACAGTTTAAATATGGCTCCCAATCAGAGATAACGAGCCGACAGCTGACACTCGTTACCACTGATTGGGAGTCACACGACCAAACAAGGAAACACAACCAAATACAACACAACCAATACCAAACACAACCAAATGAACACACCCTGGCTCAAAATACACAGTCCCGGAGCCAGAGCGTGACAGGCTCCTCTGTTCTCCACTCGTTACCTGTATTAATGGCACCTGTTTGAACTTGTTATCAGTATAAAAGACACCTGTCCACAACCTCAAACAGTCACACTCCAAACTCCACTATGGCCAAGACCAAAGAGCTGTCAAAGGACACCAGAAACAAAATTGTAGACCTGCACCAGGCTGGGAAGACTGAATCTGCAATAGGTAAGCAGCTTGGTTTGAAGAAATCAACTGTGGGAGCAATTATTAGGAAATGGAAGACATACAAGACCACTGATAATCTCCCTCGATCTGGGGCTCCACGCAAGATCTCACCCCGTGGGGTCAAAATGATCACAAGAACGGTGAGCTAGTGAATGACCTGCAGAGAGCTGGGACCAAAGTAACAAAGCCTACCATCAGTAACACACTATGCCGCCAGGGACTCAAATCCTGCAGTGCCAGATGTGTCCCCCTGCTTAAGCCAGTACATGTCCAGGCCCGTCTGAAGTTTGCTAGAGTGCATTTGGATGATCCAGAAGAGGATTGGGAGAATGTCATATGGTCAGATGAAACCAAAATAGAACTTTTTGGTAAAAACTCAACTCGTCGTGTTTGGAGGACAAAGAATGCTGAGTTGCATCCAAAGAACACCATACCTACTGTGAAGCATGGGGGTGGAAACATCATGCTTTGGGGCTGTTATTCTGCAAAGGGACCAGGACGACTGATCCGTGTAAAGGAAAGAATGAATGGGGCCATGTATCGTGAGATTTTGAGTGAAAACCTCCTTCCATCAGCAAGGGCATTGAAGATGAAACGTGGCTGGGTCTTTCAGCATGACAATGATCCCAAACACACCGCCCGGGCAACGAAGGAGTGGCTTCGTAAGAAGCATTTCAAGGTCCTGGAGTGGCCTAGCCAGTCTCCAGATCTCAACCCCAAAGAAAATCTTTGGAGGGAGTTGAAAGTCCGTGTTGCCCAGCGACAGCCCCAAAACATCACTGCTCTAGAGGAGATCTGCATGGAGGAATGGGCCAAAAGACCAGCAACAGTGTGTGAAAACCTTGTGAAGACTTACAGAAAACATTTGACCTGTGTCATTCCCAACAAAGGGTATATAACAAAGTATTGAGAAACTTTTGTTATTGACCAAATTATTTTCCACCATAATTTGCAAATAAATTCATTAAAAATCCTACAATGTGATTTTCTGGATTTTTTTTTCTCATTTTGTCTGTCATAGTTGACGTGTACCTATGATGAAAATTACAGGCCTCTCTCATCTCTTTAAGTGGGAGAACTTGCACAATTGGTGGCTGACTAAATACTTTTTCCCCCACTGTATGTGTATGAAAACCATTATCAAAAACAGTTTTTTTTTCATTCACATTCACCACAAAAACCAAGGTATGAATACTGTTGTGTGTTTTGTTAATCATCTGTATAATTACATTTTTTGGGATTCACAGACTTCACCCTCCCTACACCTCTGATGAATATAACAGGAAACCTGTTCGATCACCATGCACTGCAAAATCATTCTGGCTATGGATACGGAGAACATCAACACATTAACATCAACACGCCAGAGGATATATCCATTGGACTTGGGGCTCTGCTGGGAGTTTACCTCATATTAGAATTGTTTTATTCTGCTTTGCCACTAAAATCATAATAAACACTGACAACTAAAATATTGTGTTATTGTTGTTATTGTTATGCATATTATTATTATTATTAATAATAATAATAATAATAATAATAATAATAACAACAGGGGGGGTAGTTAAAAAATTAACCCCAAAAGGTTCTTCAAAAGGTTATTTGAGGATCCATTAAAAAGGGTTATTCGAAGAACCTATAGGGGTTCCCCCACAGTTTCAATTTGAAGAACCCCTAAAGGATACTCCAGGAACCTTTTCTTGTTAGAGTGTATGACATTCAATAAGAGTAGACAGTGCTGCTGCATAAAGACACACACACACACACACACACACACACACCACCACACACCACGGGCTCACCCACGCATGGATGCACACACACTCACCACCGCAGTCCTGAGTGGTAGAGGGGCAGGTGTGCAGCTTGTACTGACAGGAAAAGCAGTTCATTACTCTCTGATACAGCAACCCTGCAGTTTAGAAAGACAGCACAATTTGTTGCTGATATAAAGTAACTGTAATGGAAGATGTTGTGTGTGTGTGTGTGTGAGACCCCGTGCGTGTGTGTGATCACAGGCCAATAGGTGAGGTAATGATAGGGGAAGCACACAGTCAAAGTGATTAAATGATGGCACTATAGAAGGGGATGAAAGGATTGGCAGATTAAAAGACAAACAAATGAATTCATGTCATCATGGACTTACCACATTTGTTAGGGCAGAGACCTGAGAACACGAAAACAAGACATTAAATTCCACTCTATGTTAAGTGTTGCCGTAAACTGTTATTACAGGAGGAATAGCTAGAATCATAAACATATTACAGTGACACTGTTAGTATTACTGTTGGTATTATTGATATTAACACTAGGCTTAATGTGTTACAGCTGAACCGTTCACCTTTTTGGACAAAAGTCTGCAGGTGTTTCTCTAGAATTTTCCTGCCTTTCTCCAGAATCTGAATGGCCTCAAACGTCAGAGGCCCTTACACAGGGAGAGGACAGACAGACGGTAGTCAGTTTCACACATACGCAAACGCGCAAGCACGAACACACACACACACACACACAGGCACACACACCTGTGAGTTGGCTGCCCTGGAAACGGTCAAACTCACTCTGGTATTCTGTACTGGCCCTGTAGAGGGTGGTCGAGTCTGGGGGCACACACACACACACACACACACACACACACACACACACACACACACACACACACACACACACACACACACACACACACACAGACACAGACACACACACTTTTTAAAGTGCACTACAACCACTACTAAGAGGTCTGAACCTTTATGGCACAGTTGGTAGAGCGTTGGTAACCACCACCTACCAATAACTCCACTATACTGGTTGCTGGTGGTTCTGTAGGTGACATAGGCGTAGTCTAGAATCTTCTTCAGTTCTATCTGGTCCTCTACGGTGGCAGAGGAAGCAGCCAATAGGTAGTCTTCGTGGAGGAGCCTGACCCTGCGGTCACACTGCAGACAGGGTCTCCCCGCAGGGACACAGGACAGCAGGAACAGGAGACACAGAAGGCTGGGGACAGACAGGAGCCGGACAGACAGGGGGAAAGACAGGGCCCTAACTGCCTTTTCCATAGCTAGCTTTACTGACAGAGATGGAGAGAGATTTACCTACGTGGTTTCAACCCCAAAGCATTATGATGCTGCTGACAATGCGTAACTCCATGGCAGCTGTTTTAACGTCTACTGGGCAATGTTGGCAGGAACAATATACAACCTTCTAATATGGGAAGATAAACTTGCTAACTGCTCACAAAAAAAAGCAACTAAAGTGCTAGAATTAGAACTAGTATTATAGAATTAGAATGAAGAATTCAATTTCTATGGCAGCAAGCAACACATAGCTCTGTGAAGTCACAAAGACTAAAGTCACAAACACTTCATAGAAATATAATTTTACTGTGTTCCTGCAGTAATTTCACAGGGACATCACAGCTGTTCTGCTTTGCATAGTTCAACATAGGCCTAATGGGAACACAACCCTTTGTTTAGTTTGTAGCTCACTGCTGACACTCAGTGGTGGAAGCTGGGCATGTGTAACAGAGAAAGCCTGTAACTGCTCTATCAAATCCACTAATATAATAATAACATCGCTGACATGATAATGTATAGTCATAGAGGATCAATAAAATATGTTCATGATTGGCACTCTATTCTCTGTGCAGTTAAATACTTTAGGGAACTGGTCAAATGTAGTGCACTATATAGGCCAGGGAATAGGGCGCCATTTGGGATGCAGCCAAAGTGTTTCAGTATTAAAGCCTTCATCAGAGTGTTTTCAACACTGAGCTATATATTAATGGTTTTCACCTTTGCCAGGACATGACAGTAACACAACTAATAACATCATAGGCTAACAATGATAGACAGCAGACAAACATTTAAATAACATACATCTTTATTGGCTGGCTATATCTATTTGTATTGGCTGGCTATATCTATCGGTAATCTAAAACATGCATGTCAGAATGACTGGACATGGATAAAGCAAGCGAATGAACCCTATGTAACAAACCCAGGCTAAGTCCCAAATAGCACCCTATTCCCTAAAGTGCACTATTTTGGACCAGAAACCTATGGGCCCTGGTCAAAAGTAGTGCACTAATAGGGAATAGGATGCCATTTGGGACGCATACCAGAGATAACAACCCTTCACCACAACAACCCTGTAACGACTCATTATGACAACACTTTACAATAAAACCATATAGCTGTTCTAAAACTACTTTGGTATCCAGAATAAAATTACTCAATTGTTCATGGTAACAGCAGATACTGTACACAAAACAATGATTGATTGCAGTCATTAATTAGTTGATAAACAATTACAATGAAAAGGAACCATTCGATTTCTTATTAGATTTACTATTGTAGTTTATATTAGTTACATTCAATTACACCAATATATCTCAATTCTATGTAAGTTGAAACATTATGTCTTGCCATAATAACAGATAAATTTACTCTACGTTTTTGGCAACCAGAATGTGTACGTGGCTTTACAATAAACAATGACTGGATTATAATGAGAAGACAGTGACCAAATTCTGTTTCAATCTAGTCAATACATGTAGTGAAGTGAAAACACCAAGTAATCAATATTCGATGTATGTACAGTTGAAGTCGGAAGTTTACATACACCCTAGCCAAATAAATTTTAACTCAGTTTTTCACAATTCCTGACATTTAATCCTAGTAAAAATTCCCAGTCTTAGGTCAGTTAGGATCACCACATTATTTTAAGAATGTGAAATGTCAGAATATTAGTAGAGAGAATGATTTATTTAAGCTTTTATTTCTTTCATCACATTCCCAGTGGGTCAGAAGTTTACATAAACTCAATTAGTATTTGGTAGCATTGCCTTTAAATTGTTTAACTTGAGTCAAACGTTTCGGGTAGCCATCCACAAGCTTCCCACAATAAATTGGGTGAATTTTGGTCCATTCCTCCTGACAGAGCTGGTGTAACTGAATCAGGTTTGCAGACCTCCTTGCTCGCACATGCTTTTTCAGTTCTGCCCACAAATGTTCTATAGTATTGAGGTCAGGGCTTTGTGATGGCAACTCCAATACCTTGACTTTGTTGTCCTTAAGCCATTTTGCCACAACTTTGGAAGTATGCTTGGGGTCATTGTCCATTTGGAAGACCCATTTGCGACCAAGCTTTAACTTCCTGACTGATGTCTTGAGCTGTTGCTTCAATATATCCACATAATTTTCCTTCCTCATGATGCCATCTATTTTCTGAAGTGCACCAGTCCCTCCTGCAGCAAAGCACCCCCACAGCATGATGCTGCCACCCCCGTGCTTCACGGTTGGGATGTTGTTCTTTGGCTTGCAAGCCACCCCCTTTTTCCTCCAAACATAACAATGGTTATTATGGCCAAACAGTTCTATTTTTGTTTCATCAGACCAGAGGACATTTCTCCAAAAAGTACGATCTTTGTCCCCATGTGCAGTTGCAAACCGTCGTCTGGCTTTTTTATGGCGGTTTTGGAGCAGAGGCTTCTACCTTGCTGAGCAGCCTTTCAGGTTATGTCGATATAGGACTCGTTTTACTGTGGATATAGATACTTTTGTACCTGTTTCCTCCAGCATCTTCACAAGGTCCTTTGCTGTTGTTCTGGGATTGATTTGCACTTTTCGCACCAAAGTACGTTAATCTCTAGGAGACAGAACGCGTCTCCTTCCTGAGCGGTATGATGGCTGCGTGGTCCCATGGTGTTTATACTTGCATACTATTGTTTGTACAGATGAACGTGGTACCTTCAGGCGTTTGGAAATTGCTCCCAATGATTGCTCCCAAGGATGAACCAGACTTGTGGAGGACTCTTGGCCTGGAGTCTGACCCAGTGCTGGACACTCTGGTTGGGGATAGTCACCAGGTCCTCAAGTGTCTCCTGGCAGAACTCCAGGGCTTCTGACCAGGTCTTGTTCTCCTGGACCAGAATCAGACCGTCTGGAAAGAAGATGGAGAGAAGAGTGTCATTAATTAATTAGTTCATTAATTCATCCATTCTGACTCACCATTGTAGCAAAAGAAAGGATGATTTTCTTCACACTTCCTGTCACCCAATTTGCCATGGTAATTCAGCCATGTGACAGCACAGTCCTCATTCCCGCCATAGTTATCTGGAATTCCGCTCCTCCGGGAGTCATGTTAACTGTGTGTGTGTGTGTGTGTGTGTGCACGCGTATGTGAGCGTGCGTGTATATATAGTGAGAGTGTGTGAGTGCGTGTGTGAACTGAGTGTGGCTGAGATAGTGACAGCGATGCTCACCATTATAGCAGATGAAATTACTGGCTGTTGAACAGGGAATGTCATGCCAGTTACCATCATTGTTGATCCCGACACATAAGTTGTCACTAGTTGGTTGTTTGTTATCCCAGTTCCTAAATTCAGCCTCTCCCTCTCTGTAGTGATCTCTGTCTGCTAGGGACAATTTACACTGTTATACAAGCTGTACACTCACTACTTTACATTGTAGCAAAGTGTCATTTCTTCAGTGTTGTCACATGAAAAGATATACTCAAATATTTACAGAAATGTGAGGGGTGTACTCACTTTTGTGAGATACTGTATATGTGTGTATATGTGTGTGTATGTGCGTGCATGCGTTTCATGAGATACAAGTACAAGTATCTGTATTTAACTGAATTTACAGTGGGGAAAAAAAGTATTTAGTCAGCCACCAATTGTGCAAGTTCTCCCACTTAAAAAGATGAGAGAGGCCTGTAATTTTCATCATAGGTACACGTCAACTATGACAGACAAAATGAGAAAAAAAAATCCAGCCCTATCCAGACCATTGCAACAGTGGAATCCTCTACACTACTTCTCAGCCTATACATCTCCTGCATGTTGTCTATTGTGACCAGGTCAGTGTATTTCTGTCTGCAGTAAACCTTAGCTTCAGTCCAGCTCTTGTTCTTGTTCACAAAGTGATACTGAAGCTGAGGGAGGCAGGAGGAGAGAGTGGTGAAACCTGTGGTGAATAAACACACAAACACACATACACACAAATAAATACACACATATAGTGGGGAAAAAAGTATTTAGTCAGCCACCAATTGTGCAAGTTCTCCCACTTAAAAAGATGAGAGAGGCCTGTAATTTCCATCATAGGTACACGTCAACTATGACAGACAAATTGAGATTTTTCTTTCCAGAAAATCACATTGTAGGATTTTTAATGAATTTATTTGCAAATTATGGTGGAAAATAAGTATTTGGTCACCTACAAACAAGCAAGATTTCTGGCTCTCACAGACCTGTAACTTCTTCTTTAAGGCTCCTCTGTCCTCCACTCGTTACCTGTATTAATGGCACCTGTTTGAACTTGTTATCAGTATAAAAGACACCTGTCCACAACCTCAAACAGTCACACTCCAAACTCCACTATGGCCAAGACCATAGAGCTGTCAAAGGACACCAGAAACAAAATTGTAGACCTGCACCAGGCTGGGAAGACTGAATCTGCAATAGGTAAGCAGCTTGGTTTGAAGAAATCAACTGTGGGAGCAATTATTAGGAAATGGAAGACATACAAGACCACTGATCATCTCCCTCGATCTGGGGCTCCACGCAAGATCTCACCCCGTGGGATCAAAATGATCACAAGAACGGTGAGCAAAAATCCCAGAACCACACGGGGGGACCTAGTGAATGACCTGCAGAGAGCTGGGACCAAAGTAACAAAGCCTACCATCAGTAACACACTACGCCGCCAGGGACTCAAGTGCATTTGGATGATCCAGAAGAGGATTGGGAGAATGTCATATGGTCAGATGAAACCAAAATAGAACTTTTTGGTAAAAACTCAACTCGTCGTGTTTGGAGGACAAAGAATTCTGAGTTGCATCCAAAGAACACCATACCTACTGTGAAGCATGGGGGTGGAAACATCATGCTATGGGGCTGTTTTTCTGCAAAGGGACCAGGACGACTGATCCTTGTAAAGGAAAGAATGAATGGGGCCATGTATCGTGAGATTTTGAGTGAAAACCTCCTTCCATCAGCAAGGGCATTGAAGATGAAACGTGGCTGGGTCTTTCAGCATGACAATGATCCCAA